CAAATTCTGTGGATTGTTAGCAGACGGCATCTGCTGGCATTATAACAACTAGTGACTCTAGTCCAGGGGTGGGCAAAACTTTTTGACTTGAGGGCCGCAATGGGTTCATATATTGGACCCGGGGGCCGGACCAAGAGTAGATGAATGATGTGTATGTGTCATCCATAGTAAGTATAGTAATATTCCCCCATAGTAAGCACAGTAATTCATCCCCCATATAGTAATTCATCCCCCATAGTAATTAATCCCCCATAGTAATTCATCCCCCATGTAGTAGTAATTCATCCCCCATATAGTAATTCATCCCCCATATAGTAATTCATCCCCCATAGTAATTCATCCCCCATAGTAATTCATCCCCCTATAGTAATTCATCCCCCCTATAGTAATTCATCCCCCCTATAGTAATTCATCCCCCATAGTAATTCATCCCCCATATAGTAATTCATCCCCCATATAGTAATTCATCCCCCATAGTAATTCATCCCCCAATTCATCCCCCTATAGTAATTCATCCCCCATAGTAATTCATCCCCCCTATAGTAATTCATCCCCCATAGTAATTCATCCCCCATATAGTAATTCATCCCCCATATAGTAATTCATCCCCCATAGTAATTCATCCCCCTATAGTAATTCATCCCCCATAGTAATTCATCCCCCATATAGTAATTCATCCCCCATAGTAATTCATCCCCCATAGTAATTCATCCCCCATATAGTAATTCATCCCCCATATAGTAATTCATCCCCCATATAGTAATTCATCCCCCATAGTAATTCATCCCCCATAGTAATTCATCCCCCATAGTAATTCATCCCCCATAGTAATTCATCCCCCCTATAGTAATTCATCCCCCATATAGTAATTCATCCCCCCTATAGTAATTCATCCCCCATATAGTAATTCATCCCCCATAGTAATTCATCCCCCATAGTAATTCATCCCCCCTATAGTAATTCATCCCCCATATAGTAATTCATCCCCCCTATAGTAATTGATCCCCCATAGTAATTCATCCCCCCTATAGTAATTCATCCCCCATATAGTAATTTATCCCCCATATAGTAATTCATCATAGTAATTCATCCCCCATATAGTAATTCACCCCCCATATAGTAATTCATCCCCCATAGTAATTCATCCCCCCTATAGTAATTCATCCCCCATCCCCCATATAGTAATTCATCCCCCATAGTAATTCATCCCCCATAGTAATTCATCCCCCATATAGTAATTCATCCCCCATATAGTAATTCATCCCCCCTATAGTAATTCATTCCCCATATTAATTCATCCCCCATATTAAGTCCCCAAGTCCCCCCTGTGTCAATTCACTTACCTTTGCTCCGCGCGTTCCTCTCGCCGTCTTCCCGCGCCGTTCCGGTGTAGCATGAAAATCTGTCTCCTATGAGGATCTGTCCCCTCGACGTATCTGCGCATGTGCCAGTTTCAGGCATTAGCAGCCGATCGGCGATCTCCGGCACATGCGCAGATACGTCGAGGGGGACAGATCCTCATAGGAGACAGATTTTCATGCTACACCGGTCTTCAGGGCGGACTGTGAGAGGAGCCTAGCGGGAGCCTAGCTCCGCGGGCCGGATTAAAAGGTCCGCCGGGCCGGGCCGTGTAGTTTGCCCATTGCTGCTCTAGTCGCTCCCCAATGACAGCAGAATGAAAACAGCATAGCCAACATTTACCACAACAGCAAGGGCCCTTCAGTCTGTCATGGATTTGAAGGGGAACCTCATGGCCAAAAAAAAAAAGTGTGGCTTCCCCCCAAAATCACTAACACATCCTTATCTGAGCATACACTCCTGCAGGCCAGGAAAGGGGGAGTGGAAGAGCAAGCCCCCCACACACACACACATACATACACTTTTTATTTGTAATGACAGCTCTTTTGTTTACATTATGTGAAACCTTCTAAAATGTACCAAATTGCAAAAAAAACATATAAAAACTAATTTTTATTTGTTCAGGTACTTTTATAGCGCCGTCAATTTAATCAGCGCTTTACCTATATATTGTACATTCATATCAGGTCCTGCTTTCAAAGAGCTTACAATCTAAAGTCCCATTCTAAATCTAAAGTCCCTAACTCACATTCATATACTAGGGACAATTTAGACAGGAGCCAAAACAACTTCCAGCATGTCTTTGGAGTGTGGAGGCAGGGGCAGACTGACCATTTGGAAACTCGGGCGCTGCCCAAGGGCCCGAGTTCGGTAGGGGGCCCCATGAGATGTCCCTGGTACCTTTTTCATAGGCTTTTTTGAGTTTAAGCAAGGACCCATGATCCCCTATTGCCTGGGGGCCCCATGAGTTGTCAGTCCGCCCCTGGTGGGAGGAAACCCACACAGGCAGAACATGCAAACTCCATGCGGGTAGTGCTATGGTTGGGGTTTGAACCAGCAACCCTAGTGCTAGTTGGCAGTAGTGCTATCCAGTAAACCGCTGTGCTGTAAGGTGCCTTCAGAGTGCAACTCTGTGGTGAGAACCAACCCTAAGTCCCTGGGCATGTCAGTGTATCAAGCAATATGTTTCAAACACAGCACAACATTTGGATTCCTTTTAATTTTGATTCAGCACTGGTATTGTGTGTGGTACATGAACACAGCTTTGGGAGTTTGGATTTGGATTTTTGTTAGATGCTGAGCACCAAGTGCAGTTTTTCTACCATTTAGTTATTATATCCCAAAAGTCTAAGTCCCTGGGCATGTTTAATGCACATGACAGCACATACATAAGTATATATACTGCAGAGAATATACACTCCAAAACAAAAAGAATAAAACATGGCGCTATCATTATTTAAAAAACGAGAAAAAAAGAATATTGTATAAGAAGCAAAAAACAATCTAAATAAAATTACAAAGGAAATGAAAAAGTTCGTAGAATATCTATTTTGGTGTTTCTGTGCATAGCAACTGTTCTATAGTTACAAGTATTGACGTATACTGTTAAATATATATATAAATGTTAGCCTGTTTAATAAGCACGCTTACACAAAAACAGGTTCACTCTTTTCAACGACATTTCCAGGCTTGCCAATAAATTCATTTACTATAGTACTCCACAAACAACAACAGAGTAAATGCACTCTTTAGTTTTCCTGGTCTGGGCATGCTCAGTCGTGTCACTACTGAGATGTTTAAACTAGGTGAAGACTAAACGCTACTAAAACGCTATTATCAGCTTTTTTTTATCCAGCTATTTTCCAGCTTTTTTTTAGTTATACAAAAATGCTAGTTTGCATGGAGCCTACAAGAGGCTGCTAAAGAACACTGCTAATAAAATCCCCTTACAGATCAATGCTTCCAAAATACAAAATTACACATTTGATAGTCTGTCAGCAGGCTCAGTTTGAAATATAAGAGGAAGAAAAGCATACAAAGACATGGACAGCTTAGAAAAAGTAAGTTAGTGTGAAATAAGCCAAACCATTGAGCTACTAGAGGCAGTCTAAATAGTTTGCCTTGAATGACTTGCAGAAGAACCAAAACAGACTCCTGTGCACGTGGGAGCCCTCGCTGTCTAATAAATGCCAAAGGGCTGCAGGTTGGGCACAGGGATCTAGAGGAAACACAATCACTGTAAAAATTCATTAATGCCAAGTAGATGGAATCCTTAGATAGATAGATAGATAGATAGATAGATAGATAGATAGATAGATAGATATAATGACGGGATAGAATGTTTGTTGGCAAAACCAAACAGTTTTTAAGTTTGGTAATTGCTGTGGTAACCTTACAGTCCATTTGGATCCAGGCCCTTACTTGACTTTGATGGTTATTGTTTAGTGCTTCACATTTGTTAAATTTGAAAGCCACTTGCAAAAAAAACACATTGAGTATTCATTTTTTAAGGTTTGAATTGAGAGTTTTGGAAAATCGTTGTGAAATATGATAAATTGTCTACTGTGCTCACTTAACCCTTTATATATTATCTAAGCTTTTGTCAATCACAAAATTTCAGTAAGATTGAGTATAAATATGCTGTAAAAAAATTTAGGACATAACATGCTTATTACTAAATATTTTTTTTGCTTTGTGTCATTTATATTTCATGTCATTTATATTTTGGCAGAATGAAGAAGTGTAAGTGTTGTTCTGTTCTCCTACGACAGAGGTTTATCTTCCTCATCTGCACTGTGTCTCTACTGGGTATTTTGAAACTTATGAATGTTGATTTGATATTTTCTAAATCCAAAAGTTATTTTGTGGAACCACAGCTCTTTTTTTGGGTGTTACTAAAAATGTCCCACCACATGATCCCTCCAACAACATTAACTGTACAGCTATATTTGAACTGGAACCCTCAGAGATTGGGAAAAGTTTACAGCTTCGGAAGAGGCGCATATATGACCTTGATGATGAAAAAGTTGCAGCAATGACGAAGAACTGTGAAGTATATAAAAATCTAAGACCGTACAATCAAAAGCTTTTTTCCAAGGAAGAAATGGACTTTCCAATAGCCTATTCAATGGTTGTACATAAGGATGCTATAAATGTTGAACGTCTCTTGCATACAATATATAGTCCAGCTAATGTGTACTGCATCCATTATGACCTAAAATCACCTCCTGAATTCCAGAGAGCCATGATCAATTTAGCCAGCTGCTTTCCCAATGTTTTTTATTGCATCGAAACTTGAAAAAGTGGTCTATGCCCATTTTTCCAGGCTGCAAGCAGACCTTAATTGTCTGTCTGATTTGCTGACCCACCCCATTCAGTGGAAGTATGTCATAAATTTGTGTGGGCAGGACATGCCGCTCAAGTCAAACTATGAACTCATTTCTGAATTAAAAAAACTTGATGGGAAGAACATGCTTGAGTCATCAAGGCCAACAGATTTAAAGAAACAACGATATATCTATCACCACCAGGTATTGTTTGTATTAAGTCTCGATTACATGAAAATGCCCATCAGAACATTTACTCAGAAGAGTCCACCACCTTCTGGTATTGAAATGTACTCAGGAAGTGCTTACTTTGTTTTAAGTCGTGCTTTCATTCAGTACATTTTTGGAAGTCCATTGGTTGATGAATTTTTAGAGTGGAACAAGGATACCTTTTCCCCAGATGAACATTTTTGGGCAACCCTGGTCCGTATGGCTGGGGTTCCAGGTGAGGTTCCAAGGACTCAAGGAGATATAACGGACCTTGACAGCAAAACTCGTCTGGTGAAGTGGAGCTATCTCGAGGAAAGCCTTTATCCACCATGCACTGGCACTCATGTTCGCAGTGTTTGCATTTATGGAGCTGCAGAGTTAAGATGGCTTCTTACTTCAAAACATTGGTTTGGCAATAAATTTGATCCAAAAATAGACCCTGTTTTAATTAAGTGTTTAACTGAAAAGATTGAAGAACAACAGAAAGAATTTGTTTCTTTATCATTAACATGATTGGAATATTCCTTGTGTTCTACAGTAACTGTATTTGTGCTTCTGGAGAGCTCAGTGTCCTATACATGGGGAAGAAAATTGCATTGGACCAAGGCCTATAATTTATTTGTAGAGTTGTTTAAAAATGACTGCAGTAAAGTTTATTGCAGAATGAAATTTGTAAAAAGGGATCACTTAAAAATGCAAGCAATGGCATTTTCTGTAGTAATCTTGGGAAATTGAAGAGACTCTAGGTGCTGAGGAACCATAGGTCTTAACATGTTTTTGTCTAAGATTAGCCTGCAGTATTAGAAAATGCAGACAGTTTACAAGCCAATAACCTTCTTTACAGGGTGTCGATGCTGTGTCCTGTGGTGTTTTGTCCTTTAATGTACGAGTCCACAAACTTTATTGTGCTTGGTAAAGCTTCTCAAAACCTAGCCTTGTATTGGGCATCTGCTGCTCCAGTGGTAGATTTACCATTGGTATTGAAGTTTCTGATGAACTGTGGTACCAACTGTATTTTTCTAGTTTTCAGCAATCATTTCAGACTGAAATTATATGAACAGTACACTTCCCCTTTGTCACCATTATATTTTTTTATGTGTTGTTAAGGAAAATATAGTTCAATGCATACCCCCAACAGTTTATAACCTCAAATCAGGAAAGGCTAAGTACTACTGTGATCAATCTAAATCAAATCCAGCCAATCTACCACTTCCATAATACGACAAAACCATTCTCAATCATTGCCCTCTTTAGAATCCAAGAATCAGAACTGTAAAAACTAGGGACATTTAGTAGGTGTGGCTAAAAGTTAAGTATACAAAAGAAAGAAGATACTGTGACTGACCCATGTGCTCTTTTGATAAGATTCAGTAAGATTCTTTTACAAAAATGAGTGCTAAGTAACCTGTTCACTCAGAAGAAAGAGTTAGCACCCATCTTTCATCTTCTAGCGAAGGCAGAAGATCAAACAACTTTTTGGCTGCTATACCTAAAGCTCAATTTTATACCATTGCTTTGTGTTGTGTGCCTTAAAGATGGGGTTGGGCATTTCAGTTACTTTTCTTTGAATTTGTGCCAAATTTCCATTCCAATATAGCTGCTTTTTTGATTGTTTTTTTTTAAAGACCTATGAATTTTATCAATATTGCTTTTTTATGAAATATTGCACACTGCTGCATATTGTTTTTGGTTCCCGTCATGTTATTAGTGACAAAATGGACTGAAATAACATGTTAGCTCCAAGAAAAAAAAACTGCAGATAATTACAGTTATTTGGTGGATTCAAGAAATGTGTTTTTAGGCCCTGAGTTGTTTGTTTTTTTACATTTTTGTGCCAAGTTATAATTTGTGTTGTTAAAATGCACTGTATGTTATACTACTGAGAAGATTTACAGTTCACTGCTGTTTCTAATAAATATATATATATATATATATTATATATATATATATATAGTGCATTACAATCCATGTGTATGTGATGTGCAATGTGCTTGAAAATGGACATCCCTTTTAGAGCTTTTGCTTGAAGGTCTTGATGTTCCTTGTCCATATAGAATACCAGTTGTTGAGATGAATATTCGAACATCTTTGAGTCGGACCTGTCATCAGTACATCTCAATAGGCTGGACCTAGACAGCTCTTACATGATCAGTGAACATTAAATACAAGTTGCTTAACACAGAGAAACTACTAGTCATATAATCAATTGTACACATGTGAAAAAGTCCATACCACGTTCTACAGATGATTAGTGAAGGAAGTTGGCTGTATTAAAGATACCCTGTCATCTTGTCCCTTCAAAGTGACAGGGTTTCTTTAAAGTCCAACCCCTTTTACTGCTACTGCAAGATATCAGCTGTAGGCTGGGGTTGGAGTTTACAAGCATCAATGATGCCACCCCCCAACCCCCCCCCCCCCCCCCATCAGCTGTGAGAGTTTGTCTAAAGACTAGTCTCTAGGCCTGAGCAATGAAAGGGATTACATGCTGCTCTATACCTGGAAGTAGCGGAAATTTTGCAACAGCTACAAAAAGAGTAGGAGCGGTAGGGGAGGTTAGTTCAACTGAGTTGGGGGTGGCCTTTTAAACTCCTTTGTCACACTGCTGTAAATAGACTATGTGACAGAATCCCTATAGGGGACATTCACAGCAGCAGCTATGTTAGAATACAGTCCCTGGTGGGCAGTGTGGTGACAGTGGTGCTGATGTGCTATAAACAGTGCAGTGCACTGTTTCTTTTTTTGCATGCATGCATGCAAATTTTATTAGGATCTGTTGGCTGCTGCACAGTACAGTGCAGTGAAACAAGTACTGCATGCCATGACCTCTTTTTTTTTTTTTTTTTAATGCACACTGCTGCAACGCGGTGGTGTGAACTGGCCTGATAGGACACAGGTCTTGTCTTGCATTTAATGCACTTGGAGAATAAAGAGAATATTTTTCCTAAGGACTGCAGTTTAGGTACCATTTGCTTTATAGGCAATAATTTGTTTAAGCTTTCTTCAACTTCCAATCATTTAGTAGGCCATATACATAAAGTAATATGTTTTATTGATGATTAAATGTTATTTAATAATTATACATTAGGTTGTAATTATTTTTGAATGAAGGATACATAAGACTAGGTTTACTTATGTAATGTCTTTCGTCTTTTATTTAAAGTTTTTAAATGGCCTTATGTAATGTGTTTTGCTATACCAATTATGACAATGAATACCTGACAACTGTGATGTATAGTAGCATTTATTTTTTATACTTTTTTGCAGATCATGTGTGGGACTTAATTCAAAGATGTGTGTCAAGAAATATTCCAACGCACACACAGGCGCTACAGAGAAAGAAGTTGCCTATAATTTTTTTCACAAAGTGCGATAATTACAGTAACCCTATAATAAGAGCTTAGTTATGAATTCTGAATGTGGTACCTACTTTATATTTATTGTCATACTGTGGACAGTTTCAGAGAATTATGTCAATATGTTGTTAATACTGCTTTAAACGCATCGCCCACCCAAATGTAGATATTAATAAGGACTGGATTTTCAGAGTGGCTTCTAGCATCTATGTGGGACAGTGGCTGCAGTATTTGTGCACAAGTTCCCAGATCTGTCCATGGCTATTGTAGGTTGGTCCAAATCTGTGTTCCAGTTTATAATTATGAATTATTAAAGAAAAACTCTTTTCATGTAAGCAATCCATGTAACATGCATAACCCAAGTGTAATTTGAGCAAAATCAACAACCATTTAGCTAAAGCAAAAGTAAACTGATGAAGAAGATCTATCTTTTTTTTTTCACTATTCGGTCTCCTATGGGACAAAGTACATGTAGTACTATGTGACTAGGTGCTTTTTAAGTCTAGTTATGAGGTCCGACATGCACCCCTTCCCTTCTTGCTGTGGCTGATCCCACAACAGCTAGGAATGAGATGGCTGATTCATAATGGCAGCTTGTCTTGGCTGAGTACTTTACACAGACAAGCAATTGCAAGAGGAATGCAGAGGCTGATACTCCCTCTCTCCGGTGCTAGGCAGTCTTCTCCACAGTGCATGACTGTTAAGGTTTGTGACTTTGTAGTAGGATGTCAAGCCATCTTTTGTGGTTTTATTATTATTATTGTTATTATTATAATACATGATTTATACAGAGCCAACAATTTACACAGTGGCAAAATGCTGGTTTATTTTGTAAAGCACTGACAGGCCAAGCAGATAGCACTAAGGGTCCATTTACATTCATACAGACACAAAGTAATGCACCATAGATGCATTACTGAATTGCAGTGACATTCATTTTCAATGGTACTAAGGGAATCCACCTGCAATGCAGTGCACCACAACACAGGTTGGTTTTCTACTACGTTGTCATGTGCTGTCTTACAAAATATGGTGCGACTTTCTGTCTGTTTTGGTGTGTGGGCTGTCCATTCAAATAAATGAGCTGTCTTAACATAATGGGGTTGATTTACTAAAACTGAAGAGTGCAAAATCTGGTGTAGCTGTGCAGGGCAGCAAGTCGGATTCTAACAGCAGCTTGTTCAATTAAGGTTTTCCACAAAAAAAAACGGAAGCTGATTGGCTTCTATGCAGAGCTGCACCAGATTTTGCACTTTCCAGTTTTAGTAAATCAACCCCAATGTTTCTGTGGACTCCCCTCAATGCATTGGATAGGTGTGAATGGGCAGCACGTTTACACACACACACACGCAAACATATTACATTCACATCTATACCTAATCCTCAAGGGGTGTACAATCTAAGGCCCCTAATTTACATTCATACATACACATACTATGGACAGTTTAGACAGGATCCATTTAACCTAGCAGTATGTCTTTGTCATAGGAGTGAATGGCAGTGGTATGGACAAAGCAACCCTCCCACGAATTCTCAATTATTTTAACGCAGAGTTCACAGACATATCTTAGTATTCTGGGGTTTTGGTTTAGGAGATGTTCATTTGTTTCTTAGCAGTCCTGCCAAGTTTAGAAACCGAAGCAAAATTGTTAATACAACATTTAGAGATCTAAACAACTCTGCCAGTAGAAACTGAAGACAAGTTTTTGTTTGGACGAGAATCCTTTAATTTATTCTTCAGTAAAATTAGTTGGAATTGGGTCCATTCTTTGGCTTTGGATTAGCCAGGTTGGATAGCAAAGAATGAAAGGAGTGAGAACTTGCTGCAGCAAATGTCAGAATATATCAATAGCCATGACCTTACCTTAAAGCTGAAATCCAAGCTGGCTATAGATAGTTGGTTTTTTTTTTCATTCAGCCAGCAGACTGAATAAACAAAAATGAACACTTTCCTCCATCTGCTTCCCTGCTGTGACATTGTATTCTGACAATGGGACTCTTCACTGTCAGAATATACTGATCACTAGCTGCAGCTGCTGATCAAGAAACATTCTCCAACATTCCCATGCAAACAAACGGGAATGGCCACACAAGGATAAGAATCCAGCAGGTCCCTACTGAACCAGCCAAATTTGGATCCAATTATGGCCAGCTTTACAC